CATCCATCCATCCAACATTCATCATCCATCCATCCAACATTCATCATCCATCCATCAATCCATCCATCCATCCATCCATCCATCCATCAATCCATCCATCAATCCATCCATCCATCCATCCATCCATCCATCCCTGGGAGTTCCAGACCTCTCTTTCTTCTTCCAGCTCTTCTGGGAGGTGTTCTCAGACCAGATGTGAGACGGGTCTCCATCATGTTCTGGGTCTTCCTCTGGGTCCTCTACCAGTCAGGCAGGTCCAGGACACCTCCCTCTGGAGACGTCCAGGTGTTCTCCTCACCTGCTGGAGGAGCAGCAGGTCTACTCTGAGTGTCTCCTGAAAATCAATCAATCAATCAATCAATCAATCAATCAATCAATCAATCAATCAATCAATTAATTAATCATTTTTATTTAACCAGATAAAACCCACTGAGATCAATCTCTCTTTTCCAAGGGTGACATTAAAAACAGTTTAATAATGTTTTACAGGTGTCACAGGTTTCAGACAGGAAGGATTTTCAAAATAAAACTTATCTTTTTCTTGTGGTTTAAAACAGTTGAACTGAAACAGAATGACTCAAAGGAAGGGTGGGATGCGGGGGGGGGGGGGTCTGTCAGCTCATGGTGACTGATGGTGGCTGTAACTAAAACAAAATGAAGGACAAACTTGTTTGTGTTTACACACGTTAAAATTAGAACAGCAGCTAAAGCTAGCCACCAAAAAGCACCTGCAGCTGTTTTAAACTCAATGATGTAAGAAAATAATCCGTTTTCACTCAGAAACTTCTTGTTCAGGGTCTGAAACTGGTCCTGAGCTCCTGGTGAGCTTTTAAAACCTCGTCATGTTTTCATGACCTTTAACATTTAAATTTCCCAGTGAAAAGAAGGCGACACGACGGCTGAAACAGGAGCTGATCCACCTGCTGCTCCCGTCTGAAAACTCATCTGAAAAGCTGAAAACCAGCTGTCAATCATGTGGTTTGTTGGAATAATCCAGCTACTGTCCAACACAAACACCACAGCAGGTGTCAGGTTTCCTCTGAACATCTTTATTCCTCCAGTTTGCTCTGATTTCACAACAGCTCACTGATTWCAGCCACTCTGTTTGCTGCATTCATAATTAATCCACATTTTCTGCTGTGCTGTGTTTTTATTGTTTACCTGAGATGTTTTTACGTGCAGCTGCTTGGTTTTTGCCAACAAAGCTTGTGAGAAAAACATCATAATGGATGTTTGTTGTTTGTCCTTAATACGAGCCGACAGCTCTGTCAGGCAGAAACACTTTCAAACTACGTTATTAATGTGATTTTTATTATTTCACAGTTGCAGATTGGAAGCAAATTTGCAGAATTTCAGGAAAAAGAAACTGTTTCAGGGTCTGTTTGACTGGTGAGGGTCAGGTTAGTCCTTCAGCTGAGCAGCAAACATTTAGGAGCTAAAACCTTATTTTCTGTCATCCTTCACATCTTTAAGAACAGATCTTATGATGAGCTGCTGTGAAGAAAAAGAAAAAAAATCAAATTAAACTTTAAATCATKTGTTAAACTCTGATTCATCCCTGTGGTTCAGGAGCCACAGATTCATGGAACTCTGGTCAAACTCCCAGGATGTGAACGCAAGAGAAAATGCGACCCCAGGTTGATTGCAGGAGTTGAGCTTCATGGAGACGATGRAACACTTTCTGCATCATGACGACAGAAAAACACAAAAATCCAGACGAGGATTTAACAAACTGCAGATTAACAAAGGTTTTAACCTTCTGAACTGATCAGGTTTGTTTTTGTTACTAAAACAACAAATTTATCTGAAAACTGAGTGAAAATCTGCTGAAGTCTGGAGAGGAGCTGCTCAGGTTGTTGGAAGCGTGCGCTACATTTAGCTTCTCTGCATCAGGAAACCACACACACACACACACACACACACACACACACACACACACACACACACACACA